GTTGTTTACTTTTTTGTACACAAAACACATGAATTAAACAAAACCCACCCCTTTAACAGTAGCGTAGACGGGGACGGATATATCCTGGTAGCTGGTGGACTCGTGCATGGGACGCGGACACGGAGGGGGGGACAGTTCCTCCTCCACCGATTGTTGGAGACCGTCGTCTGCCACCTGATAGAGAAAAATATAAGTATTAGTTTAGCAGTATATATTATACATGTACTTGTATTATTTTTGTATCTGTGTGCGTGCCTACTGTCGTATAAATGCTTTTTAGTTCTTTCTTTTTTATTTTAACAGCAAAGGCTTGATTAACAGTAGGTGAGTCCCATGTGAATATTTGACACGCGTTTTTAATTTCTTTTAACTTTAGATTTCATTTCACAGTGGCAGAAGTATCAAGCAAGTCTAAGGCATACATCATAAATATGTATCTTGTAATAGTATCTACAAGATTTTTTTTATTTTTTAAGAGGAGAAAATCATCAACTTCAAATTCAAAATCAATTATTTCAATTAGACCAGAAAGGCACTTTTGAATGTCAACAATAAAATTAAAAGTGAAGCTATTTGCTCATTCCAAGATGTAGATTCCTATGGAGACTAACGAGCAAGAAACTCCATAGGTTACTCTTTTTCAATCAGGTTCACAATACAATTCTTTAGTTACATCGAATGACTGCTCCCGCCTGGGTGAGGCGGGAGGGAGTGTCAGACTCTTACTGACTAAAAATCACCCCGTTCCTATTCTTGCACTTCGAGCCAGAGCCCCAGTAACCCGTTAAGTTATCTATAAGATAATGATCACATTTATTCAGTCATGGTTAAATTATTTTTATTTTCATGATTTATACGTTGCTTGACCCGCTCATGTAGGCACACGTAACTGATTTATTTTATCTCTATAGTCAAAGTCAAAGCTTTTATTTTAATTAAACCATAATTTGGTACTTTTAAAAGGCAACAAATACAAAATAAATAATAGTCTGTCAGTCAGTCCGTCAGTGAAGCTAGGTGCTCATTCCAAAATGTAGATTCGAATGGAGAAGAACGAGCAAGAAACTCAACATCCTCTTTTTATAATGATGTGATCTCTACACTACAATTTTCTTCAAAATCCCGCCGCTGCGTTTACAAACATCTAGAGGTATGTAACATCCTAATCCGGAAAAATCCAGTCTTTTTGTAAATCTCGTGCAGTGATTAAGTAATGTATACTAATATTATAAAGCTGAAGAGTTTGTATTTTGTTTGTTTGTTTGAACGCGCTAATCTCCGAAACTACTGCTCCGATTTGAAAAATTCTTTCTGTGTTGGATAGCCGATAGCCCATTTATCGAGGAAGGTTATAGGCTATATAAATATCACGCTACGATTAATAGGCGCCGAGCAGAGCGAGTGAAATCGCGCGGAAGTAGCTAGTCGTACACAAAATATATAACATTACCTGATAAATCTTAGCCTCCCAGCTAGGGAACCGATGTAGCGGTGGAGTGGGTGGCCTCGGTTGTTCAGATGTGGAACTGTCCCCGGTGGAGGACCCGCCGCGACTGTTGCCCTGTACTATCACGTTCACGTTGCCTTGCCACGCTGGGGTGCGCTCTGGAACAAATAATTACTTCTATAAAGATGTTTTTTTAAGAGTCTTATCACTTAAAACATAGCATTTAAGTGTAGGAGAGCCATTCTTCGGCACGAATGGGCCGGCTCGACCGGAGTGATACCACGGCCTCAACGAAAACCGACGTAAAGCAACGCTTGCGTTGTGTTTCGTCGTGTAAGTGAGGTTACCGGAGGCCCAATTACCCTCCCCCTCCCCAATCTCCCCAATTCCTGAATCCCCAACGATCCTTAAACTCCAAATCCCCAAAAGGCCGGTAACGCACTTGTAACGCCTCTGGTGCTCCAGGTGTCAATGGGCGACGCCGATTGCTTACCATCAGGTGATCCGTCTGCTCGTTTACCAGCTACTATTGAGATTTTTTTTAAAACCCGGTAATACTTTGCCCGACCTGGGAATCGAACCCGAGACCCCTTGCCCGGCAGACGCAGTTGCGACCACTCGGCCAACGAGGCAGTGTCTAATTAATATTGACAAAAAAACGGTACATAATATAAGTTACAAACTTCGATCAACAATAACAACTAGATAAAGGGTTACGTACAAAATCAAGCTCCAGTTCTGTCCGTGTGAATAATAATAGTAAAAAAATAACAAACAGAGAAAAATGTTTTAAAATAGTTTTAAGTTCAACCTAATAACAACCATGGCACCTAATAATATAGTCATAAATCGTCAAAATATTATCTAATACTTACGACCATTCGTCACATAAGACAAGAAAAGTATTTTCTTACTCCTGTCATGTAGAAATTAAAAGACATAAGTTATACAATATTTAGTTTGAATTCAACCTTAAGATCGAACAAATAAAGATAATTTTTCCATTATTGTCTTGCGATCTATATCGTTTTGTTTTGTTACGTTTTGCTTCTTCAAATTTCGAATTTCGCTTCTATGAAAATTAAGATTTTGGGATCTTATTATACATCACTAATTTTTATTAGCGGTATACGTTTTTGTGTATGATATGTTTATTTACTTTATCATTAAAAGTCTAAGTCTAAGTCGAAATCATTTATTTCAGTTAGACCAGGAAGGCACTTTTGAACGTCAACAATATAAATTTAAAAGTGAAGCTATTTGCTCATTCCAAGGTGTAGATTCCTATGGAGAAGAACGAGCAAGAAACAATATAATTTTATTTTTCAATACAAATCGACTCGATGCATCCACTGTTCTGTTTAAACAAATGTTGGCGAGGCTTGGCCAATGAATCGCCAACACACGCACAAACATTGGTGGCGTTGGTTTGTAATTGATAATTTTGTCTAATTTGATATTATTTACTAGTTTAAAAACTTAAAATATAACTTATACTTTATGTATTTATCAAAAGTAAGACACTCCAGCCGTTATACTGCTTTTTCGGTTGTTATTTTTGCAACTTGCAATTATGCACTGCGGCATCGTGAGACGTGAGTACGTTGGCCGTGTTTGGAGCATACTAAACAAAATAAGAGCTCACTTCTCAAGTGAGCTCTTTTTTGTCGAGACGATTTTCTTGCGCTGACCCGATATCTAGTTGTTATTGTTGATCGAAGGTTACAAAAGAAAAACTGAAGAACTAAGTTAAACATATGAATATTTTATAAACATACCTCTGCTGGGTGTATAAATCTCAGCATAGTCGTGCGTAGTGTCACCGTCAGTTGAAGTGTTAGGCGTTGTCGGTAGCACCACTAAATTCTCTACGGCCGCCTGGAATTTGAACAAAAATTCATTATTGTGTGTGAAATTAATGCCGGAATACTGAAACGTTACTCAATTTTAAGTCGTGCTCAAATATCGTGCCATCTCTGTCATTTTACAAAGAATTTGTAGAGATAGAACTATACTTAAGCACGACTTAAAATTGAGTAGCGTTTCAGTATTCCGACATAAGTTATTAAAACAAACGCCCCATATACTGAAAGGCTACTCAAATTTAAGTTGTAGGTACTTAAATATCGTGCTATCTCTATCATAACATGTCGCGGAGAACCTAACGGGTAACCGGGGCTCCGGCTCGACGTGCAGGAGAAGGAACGGGGTGGTTTGTAGTCAGTAAGAGTCTGACACTCCCTCCCGCTTCACCCAGATGGGAGCAGTCATTCGATGATTTTCCCCCCTTAAAAAAAATCTCTATCATAACATAACATCACGCCATTTATCCCCGAAGGAGTAGGCAGAGGTGCTCATTATGCCACTGTATAATGTAACACCCACTTTTCACTATTTATGTTATGAGTCCCATGTAATAGTGGGTGAGCCTATTGCCATATACCGGGCACAATTCCAGACTCCGTGATACTACTGAGATTTTTTTAAAACCCAGTAATAGGTACTTTGCCTGGCCCGGGAATCGAACCCGAGACCCCTTGCCCGACAGTCGCACTTGCGACCACTAGGCCAACGAGGCAGTCTATATCATTTCTATCATTTTGGTAAGTATACTTATTATTGGTTTCATGTAGGCCAAATTACCCCCTTCCCCAGTTTCCCCAATCCCCGAATCCCCCACAATCCTCAAATTCCTAATTCCCAAAAGGCCGGTAACGCACTTGTAACTGGTGTTTCGGGTGTCCATGGGCGACTCCGATTGCTTACCATCAGGTAATCCGCTTGCCCGTTTACCGGTTTATCTCATAAAAAAAATTTTAGACGTAAATAAGTCCAGACTATTTGTTGCAGATACTACAGAAATTCTCCAAAATATCATAGGAATTATTCCTATGATATTTTGTCCAACCAAGGCAAGGTTAGATTTTTTAGATCTCAAAAACCAAGGTATCTGATGTTATCCAAGACTTAGTACTTAACAGTGACTTCATTGTTCATTAGAGGGTAACGAGTTTGTTTTACGTATCAAGTAATCGAAACAAGACCTCGTCCGGCACTGTGATTGGTTTGTTCATTGGAGCCGGCCAATCAGAGCGTCCAACGCGATATCGTTTCGATTAATTAAAGCCTCAGATGTCTCATCAATAACTTAAATGGCTAGAAAGTAGAAACCCATTTAGATACATAAGTTTCTTACCGCTAAGTCATCAGCCAATAAGCTGGCAGTAGTCTTTTCATCCATAGTCCTATTCATGGTGTTTAGGCCGGGAGGGTTGGCAGCATTGACGTTATTCGCTATATTGGTAGTACCGATAGAAAGGTTTCGTCTATGCCGCACAGGCGTACTGTAGTGAGGCTCCGATGAATTTATTGGTAACTGTGGAATTTGAAATTGGAATTGAATTTTATTTTCTATTTTATTGTGCGTGTATTTAGGCTTGTATTTTGGGAATTTGTAAACATTACAACAATTAAAGCATCTAAACATATAAGGCTTGCTCTGGAGCATTTTATTTATTCCGTAGGAACCTGATTGAATACTTTACAAAAAGTGGGTAATCTTACCAGTTAAAAAGGAATTATCATATTCTCCATTTGTAAATTCACTAATGGATAAAGGAAATAGTGATCTATAATATAAAATTGTGCAAAAAATTAGATTTAGAATGTAGCTTTGCTGAGTGATAGCAAATTAATATTAAAATTCATGTTCATAGGAATAAAGTAATAAAAATAAGGTAACAGCACAATAAACCTAAAGTAACTTAGTTACATCTAAAGAAAGGATGAAAGAAGGTGAGACAAATGATTTTTAAAAAATAAATATTTTATTTTCCTGTTTTCTTTAACATCAAGAAATATTTACACATCACTCACTCGCCTACTTATATACAATCACCGTACACCCACGTCACAATAAAGACAAATATACACACAAAATCAGTCTGTTCTCATAAGACCTTTGGATATAACAGTGCAATAATAAAAAATAATAACATCAGCGGTGATTGGTCGCAAACTAAAGGTTGCTAGCGCCCTACAGGCAACATAGAACTACCTGGGGACCCTCTAGGCTCTCTGAACGTCGACGATTTGAGGCCAATAGACTGGATGTGGCTCGGGGTGAACCGTCATCTGTTCGCACCTCAAGCGATAGGCTCGCTCGAGTTGGTAAAAACTGGAGAAGTTTGAAGTTATGTATTTTTTGTCATCTATACTCTATAAAGCAGTATGCATAGTTCTGAACTGTAGAAGCATTTGTTTGTTACTGTTACGGCTGATTTCGATATAATTATTCTTGTTGTTTTCCTTGTGTCAATTCAAAATGTGATTTTGTGTAACTGAACATAAATTAGATGTCCAATAATAGAATTAATTTAATTATTTTATGTAACTCCACAATTAGGCTAGTCGGGTAAACTTTTTTTTTCTGGAGAATGCAATGAGATAAGCTTCAAGCATCATGATTTAATGTTTACTCAGGAGCTGAATTCAGATTAAGGCTTTTGTATTTATTACAGTGAAATGACACATGAACAGAATCCCATCAATGAAAATGACAACTCATATTTGTTGTGGAATTTGCCAATAAAATCTCACTCATTTATTAGTAGTCAAGATATTTATTTCTTTTAGTATGGAATTTTACACCCATTCTAATAAGAATTGGAGAATTGAAGATATAACTATTAGTATAAACTGCAATTGTGTATTAAAATACATAACAATATATTAGACACAAGTAAAATCACTCTGAAAAAGTTAGTAAACAAATAGGGTTCAAATAGCTATACTTACAGTGCAATTCCTACTTCCAGAAGCCGCTATATGGTTCCGGAGTAACTCAAGTTGCTGGTTACAGCGGTCGTTCTGTTCCCTAAGCAGTTGGTTCTGTTGTTCCAGCTCCCGCAACTTGTTGGTCACCCACTCTTTGATGCGGGCTGCCTTTGCTTCCACCTGCTTCGCGTCCTGGAGTCTTAGCTGCTTCTGTCAACAGGATGCTTCAGTTGTAGCAATATGTTGTTTTATTACATGGTTTTTGCCTATAGTAGATTCGCATTAAGAATGCAGTAAGTCATCATTGTCCATCAGCCTAGCCCCGTTCCCTAATCTAATTTTAAATGTTTAAGTGCATTTTTATAGAAGATTAATCTTTTAAAATATACTTTGTTTGTATTTCACACCACTGTGAATATACCTTTATCTTACAGTTGTACTAATGATTCACTGCATTCTTACTGTGAACAATCTGTAAGATAATAATATCATTATGAAAGAAACAGAAGTTTTCAGTTCAGTTTAGTTACTGCTAAGTTCAACAAGGCATATTTAATCAATCCCAAGTATTATGAGATAAGAGCAGGAAGACACTACCAGCAGTGTGAAGTAATAGTGCTGAACTCTACAATAATAGGTGCTTACCTATTATGTTTATCAATTCATTATGTTATAAATTATTTTTATAATTTCTACAGATGTTTAAAGGAACATTGAAAGTGTAAATTCGATTAGACAAAATAAAATCCTGAAGAGGTTTATTTATAGTTGTGAAAATATGGCTATACATTTCAAATAAATGCAATAACATAAAATCATTTCAATAAACTAACGTTATCTTAGTAAAAATCTTAATGTAAAGTTAGATATAACAGTTAAGAAATTCGAAACTAAGCATAAAGTTCACTGAATAACTTAATATAAATCATAGTATATAATCTAAATCATACTCGAAGGTAGTTCAAATAAAGTTATTCATATCAAAACCAGTTTTAATCTCTATTTACCTGCATTTCGCTTTATATTAGCACTTTCTAAGTTCATAGTTTTTGTCACAACATTTTATAGGTTGAAAATCACATAAACTATTAAATTGTGAGCACAAACGAGAATTTGTGATCTGTATATTATAATAGCATCGTAATAATACAGTGTTTAATTCATTAATTTAGTTATTGACGCAAGTTAAATATCTTGTAAGTAAACATCTTTGTGTTTTACGTCACAATGACGTTTCGTTTCATTTCTAAGTTCAAACTCTGTGGCTGCGTTTCGTTTCTCTTTGATTCTACTTGGGAAAACCGGTTATGACGACACGGATTTTTGGACACGTTCATATTCATACCTGTCGTTAAAATTATTTTATAACAAACGTTTTAAATAAGTACTAGCCACACTGAGTAAAAAAATGCATAAACTATCGTTGAAACGGGATTCGGAATCATTTTAGAGGTTTAAGATTAAAATACTATAATACTAATTTACAATTCAAGTTCCATTACATACACGAATATTTAAACAGTCACGCAAAGAGTGTTTAAAATTAAAAATGTAAGTTTTTATTTTACATTGAATTACAACTATGATACCTAAAATGAAATATTATATAAAAGTCATACCTGTTCTTCAATTTGGCCTTCTAGCCGCGTAATGGCTCGGGGTGCACCGTCAGTGCCCGCTGGCCAATCGCACAGCCGCTGCTCCATGGCGCGGACCTGTAAAAAAGGAAACAATAGGTATTATTAAAGATGTACCTGCTTTCATTATTGGATCATGATTTTAATCCTGGACTGATTTGGTAGACATAATAAATAATTAAATAATAGGTAAATAAATCTCCACATTAAAAACCGCAGCCCAAAATAGTTACTCTGCAATACAAGCAGCTTATGTTTAAGCTGTCGTAATAAAACGGACCGCACATACCGCAATAGGGCCGGGACAAAATCAAGAGATTTAAAACCAAGCCACGATGTTGCAACTGCTGTGTTGGGATAGTTAAGTATCAAAACATTGTGGTGACTAGTTTGAAGTGAGGCTAACCGCATTATACGTGATAGTATTTTTAGTAGGATAATGTTGCACATCTTGGTGGACTGGATTTTAATTTTAATGAAGTTTTATGAAATCATCTTTGAAGTGGCAGCTGAAAAACCAACACTTACTAAAGATTTCGTTATCACATTTGCTTGTTATTCCCACTCTACCATATCTGCATGTTTTCACATTATCTAACGAACAATCACAAATCCAATCAAAACGAAACAAATATTGATACTATCAATTCAAACAATGTAAATCTGGTTTTGTTTGTATTAATAAAATGTATAGGAAACACGCGCATTCGGGCATGTTGAGAGTAGATTAATCCAATCACGAAGTGGGGATTAACAAGTATTACTTTGAATTGAAACAACGGTTATCCGATATGGATAGGATTACCATCACTTCAACCTTATTTGACTTGCCACCAATATGGATATTGATCAAGTTCCGGAAATAAGCTTGCTACTTTGGTAAGAAGCTTTCAATATTAATGGAATGAAATTAGCGAACCATCTTACAGCTTATTATATCACCACTCTGAAGCAAATCAATAGGTGACGAAATTCATCAAAGAAGGCTAGTCTTACTTTTTTTACACATTAGATTTTACTTCAGTAGTTTAAGGAAAACGTAAGAGTATAGGTACTACTGACAGCCTTTATTTTTGGATACTACGGAAGTACCAGGGACTAGAAGATAATAAAGGATTAATTAGTACAAGCATTGAACATAATACTGTGTAATAAGTACTTAAGGATAGGATACATTATTATATGCCAGTCGAATGATCGATATGTAGATAGTACTCTCAAAATCATTGAACCATATTAGTAAGCGGCATTCCATTGGCTTCACGTCTCATTCGACACTGAATCATCGAAGTAAATACATTTCATAGTCTGTAGTTCCTTACCCCTTTATAACAGAACACATTAGCACTGTATACTTACATACATGGGTATTAGTACCTATGAGCCTGGTAAAGTCTTTTGTAACCCTAACGTCAGTTTTTTAATGATTGCTGGCAAGTAGGTGATTTTACACCATTTCCTCTGTTGTAAAACACGACGTAAGACGAATTTTACTACTCACCCTAAAAAGTAAATTAGTTTTTTGACCCCGATACTCAGGAGGATCTTTTTGTTTCGGTTTTGATACGCCCTTAGTGCAATTTTATCACAAAAACAATAACTTTGAAGGATATAACTTAATTTTAGTCGAATACGTTAACCGTGGCTAGTTTTACAACAGGCGTTTGAAGAACAAAGAAAGGTGAATCGTCGGGTGAAGGATACACCCAGGAATAGCTCGCATTAATCACAAATGCTATAATTTGCCTGACTCACGACAAGAGGGGACGCTACGAGTATCGGGAACTTTCTAAATCGGGTAACACTCAGACAGGCGGCATGATGAAAAATAAGCAATAGTTAGCACTTATTTGGAAAGATAATTGCAAGAGATGATGGATATATTTTATCAAATATGCAATCGAGATACAGCAGTTATTTAGGCATTTTTTTCGAGGAGGTAGGTATTGTAGAAAATAGTAAAAAAATTAAATGGGTGCAAACACACGCTTAGTTCATTGCTACGCGCTGTCTAATTAAACTTGGCAGATTAACGATTAACGATTAATTGTACGCTACAAACTTCCTTGTTTATTCAGCATCAACCAGTAGTTAATTTTGTGATGACTCTGTTAGGAAACACGTAATAAAGGGGAGGTGATTAATTAGTGTTAATTTCTGTGCATTCACAGCCTTTTTATCATTGCATTTACTGTGGAGAATTGTTTTGTATTTACAAGAATTATGTTGGTAACCATAACAATAAAATAAAATATTAGGTATCTATTTTGAGCATTACACTGTATATAATAAGTTCGATGTCACCACTAATGATTTATGGTACAAAATAAATAAACAGCTGAACGCATCGGTAAGCGCCACCGGATGTTCTGCAAACGGTTAATTATTTTTTTATAATTAAACCGGCGACAAATTCATTCAGCCTGCCTGTATTAACCAGAATGTTTTATATAAACATATTTAAAAAATAGATTTTAAAGGAAACATGGGTTAATTTCCATTTCAAAATTAAGCAAAGACGCTAGTCAGTATAAAATATCTTCTTCGGATGAGGGATTTCAGCTGGTTACCTAAGTGAGTGCTTAGTCGTTATTAATTTAGTAAATTGGATACAAATTGATTTTGCCGATCGGTTGGCATTGCTAACTTGGGCAAATTATGAACGAGAAATTGCCGGCACGACACGACACACGACTGAATTTATTAGATCAATTATGTAGGTATGTAACAGATTCATAGGTAGAAGCGGTTAATGGTCGCATTACTAGGTATTTACTAAGATATACTTTTTATATTCGATGCACACTTATAGATTCTAACATCTCAAAGCTTATCGTTTCTAATAAACAGCCACTACAGCAACTAGCAATAGACACATGATTGACGATAGAGTAACATGTTTTTTTTTCACTACCGCTATCAATCGGTACTTACGTAGGTAGCTCTGACGCGATCCATTTGGATCCAAGAATAGATCAAAAGTTGTCTCAAATACTTGGATACGTATCGTAATCGGTTTCAACTCGGATGTGAGACATCCGTACTTCTTGGTATTTGAATTTGGAAGCTAAGTGGGTGGCTGGTTTTACAATGAAAATGTTTATTTTTTATCTGTGTTATGGCGGAAAAAGTCGGCTGTTCATTGACTTGACGAAATAAAATATTGATTCAGAGAAAGTTGAAGAGATATAAACAACCGTTTTTATATATTAAAAGTAAGTGAATTGTCAAGATATTTCCAAATTACAAGTGAGTAGGTATCTATAGTTAAGAAACTTATCCTAATTTTTTCACATACCTACCTAGATATTTACAAAAATGGAAACCTTACAGGCATGCAGAAAATCTAGACAAACGTTTGTTTCACTAAAGTAAATAGAACTAGCTAAATAGATTCTAGATTGGTTTAACAAGTTCAACTTGTATGGAGCTTCCGAAACTAGATCTAATCTAACTTTGTAACTTTACATTTTCTTGGAAACATTTTTTCTGAAGTAAAGTGTAGACAAGTAAGTGAAGACAGTAGAAGAACCCAATGGAAGTACATTTAAAAGTGTAGGTACTTGTATTGCTACCTACTTGAAAGTAAAACTATTAGGTATTAAATTAAGATAGGGACCTATATTATATTAAATGCCATCGACAAACGGTTAATTTTGTTTTTAATTTTTTTACCATCGGCCTGTTGGATCGCTAGCTCTTACGAAACATAAGAATTGTATTTACGCAATTGACGATTTGCTGAAGTTTGTTTTAATATTTGCGAAAGGTGCAATATGATGATTGAAGTAGGTAAGTATAATTATAGACTTTAAAGACTAAAGTTTCTCCATCTACGAAGCAATACATACCGTATAGAAATATAGAGTAGGCCCAACTTTAAATGGTTGTTGGTTAGTTACATTTTATTTCAAGATGGAAGACTTGCCAACCGTGAAAGTGGGTTGGTCCCTCTTCAATCACTGAATTTCGACAAACTGTCTCTGATTGGCATTTAGGATAAATACATTTAATCCGATTTGAACGGTTTAGGATTATAATCCTAAGGATTATAAGGCTAAATTGGTTGGGTTGGGTATTGTTGACATCGTTAATAGAGTCAATGATTTAACTAAAAGAAAATTAATTGATTTATAATTTGTAAAATATAGGTACACACGGCCACACATCAATCTATACAAAACCAGTTTATCCTGGTGTCGCGTCGCATCATCTTTCCGCACATTTAACATTCAGTTTATACTGGGTATGTAAAGCTCGATGTGTAGCCGTGTGTACAACGGTGGACTCAATGCCTAGTGGCATTCTCTTATTCTTCTTATTCTCACAACCTTATGATTGTTCTATAATATTTACATCCCTGCTTACCATATTGTATAAGTTACCATAAGTTTCGTGGTGGCCCGGAGGATAAGATGTCCAATTGTCATGCATGAGGGTGCAGATTCGAAACCTACCTACCTTCTAAGATAATTTATACACCACTAAGAAACGGTGGGGAAAAAATAGTGAGAAAACCTGGGCTTATAATTTCTAATTATAATTTTGAAATCAGAACCCGCATTGAGCAGGCGTAAATTAATGCTCAAACCTTCTCCGTGTGTGAAGAAGCCTTTTGCTCAACAGGGGGCACTTATTGGCTGTTGATTTTGATGTTACCATATTGAGGTGTAATAAGTGGATTATATGTATAAGAATGTCAAAAGTAATAACAACCGAAATAAATAACTTATTTCAATACAAAACTCTCTAACGCAATCTAGGTTTTCGAAAAAACTAAAACAATAATAAAAAATCTACATCGATCCCAAGATTGTTGATTGAAATTTGAAATCCGTACATAATTTCCACCATAAATAACTTTCATTTATAAAACTACGTCCAATATGTCACTAAACAGAACCTACAAATTGTTTCCCATTTCCCATTTATAAAAAAAAATATCTTTCCCGTAGTAAGTAAAGCCCTATTGTTGAGGCAGGTCATAAATTAGCATTATGTTACCTTACTTAAGAACAGTATCTACGTGGGTAGGATCCTAGGGCCAAGTTAATATAATGCCGAGGAATTTGGGAAGA